ATATCCTTGCAGTGTTGTTGATGACAACTGCAGTGTATGGCAACAAACTCTATGCTTTTTCCTTAAGAATGCCTCATGATGGAGAGATTTTCCAGACTGTATAGGAAATTTCTGCTTTAGCAGTCTGGCTATTTTCTGCTTCTGTTTTATTCACACATTCTTTGTCAATATTAAATTCTTCCCAGAGTCTGCTCTCAGTCGAGAACTGAGGAGGACTGTCTTACTAAATTGCAAGTTAATCTGAACATTTTGATAAGAAACAGGTTTCTTTTTTTTTAAGTCAAAGATAAAGAAGTGAAGCCCACTGAGGGGCTGGGAGGAAAGCTCAGAGGTGCAGGTAAGTTCTCTCATCGGTAGCGAGGAGAAATATCAAGTGCCGATGATGCTGGCAATGAGTCTTCACAGTCCCTACATGATCTGCCAGTCAGTCAGCATTTAAAACAGTGCAGCATATGACTAGGAAAGGTTTACCCTTTTTTGCATGCTTTTTTAAAATGTACACTTCAGCATCCAATAGGGTACTCTAAGTGCAAACATTTATTTTTCTTATTTATTATTAGCATTCTTATGCTTGTGAACTCAGACTATCTGATGGGAGGAAGAGGCAATCCCATAGGACGGCATACCAGCATACCAGAAACTAGAGGGAATTCTTAATTTTCTGAGGGCATTAAAATAAAACTTGTAAGATGTACTGTGTTTGCACTCTGTCAATTTTACGTTTTTCCCTATTTTTTTCTGACTTCCTAACTATTCATGTTGCTAATTTGTAATAGTAAGGAGTAATTCTGGCTACTGTGGTGAACTATGATGGATAACGCCATCTGTCAGAGAGGAGCTGATCTCATTTCAGATGGGAAATGTTGGTGGCTTATTGCTCAGCAAAGGATAACTCCAAGTTTTTTGAATTTTCTTGTGAAGCTGTAGATAGAGAGCTGCAGCTGAAAGGGCTTAGTGTTTCCTCTGATCAGGCACAAGCAAAAGCCACTGAATGTAAAAGCAGGTCACTCTTCACCCATCGTATTTCTGGATCTTGCGAGACTCTGAAGGAAGGCACAGGCCCTGTGTGAGAGGATGATGGCTGCAGCAGGCAATGGATTGAGATAAAGGGAAAACAGCCATCCACAATGTTGTGAGGTATAGAAAAACATTGCATGCATCTAATCTGTCACTTTGAGCTATATACAGTTTCAGAGACTTCAAGTCATATACCCCAGGAAATCTGCCAAGGGGGAGAGGAGAGGCTATGTGCTAGTTCATAATCCTGTGAGCATTTATTGCATAGGTTTAGGTTGCTGTTCTCACAAGTTATGGGAATAGCATATTCCCTGTAGAATTTGTTAACTCTCAAGTTGAATGGCAAATTGCATCTTAGGGTCGAGGGGTCTACCTGAGACATTATCCAGCATTTGATATTTCAACAGCAAGGGCAAAGAAACACTCCAACAGACATTGTAGATCTAAACCACATCTTTTAATGGTAACTTTTTGAAGGCATTTCAGCTTTATTACTGCGGGAAAACGTCTTCAAAAGTTTCCTGATTTACTATTCTATCTTAAGAACAAAGCGAGAAATTTATAGAAGATCAAACAGATAAAAATAGACTGAAAAGACAGCAGATGCTGTTGATTTAGTGGAGAATTCAGAATCTTACATTTGGTGGCTATATTGTTTGCTGATACCACAGTTTTGGTGTTAATAACCTACACCCAAGCTGCACATATTATGAAGATTATTTTTATCTCTAGTTTCTTGTGATAAGTACAAACAACTCAATTTTCAGTTGCTTGCTTTATGTTTTGTCATCAGAAACATTAGTCATGATGTTGTATGAGGTTTATTCGCTTCTCAGTTCACGTACTTTATTGTCAGGTGAGACATGGGAAGGGGCCATATGCGTGATATATGTCTATATTCGTTAAGCCTTGGCACAGCACAGTATTGACCAAACACAAGTTGCGTGCCCTAAACTTCAGTGTGCAATTATTCAAGCATTCACATAATGCATCTCTTCGTCTGCATGGAATCAGGACTCTCAGCCAGCAGAATTATTACTCCATATTGTTTGCTGCCAGTAAAAGTTCAAATAGCTAAATGGTAAAATCAAATTCTGAATAGAGACCTGCCCCCTCTCTTCCTTCCCCTTCATTTTTCCACAGTTTTCTGAGCTGTTAGGGCTGAGAAAGGCTAAATATGCTTTTTCTTCTTTGTCTCTTAATTCTTTTTATGAACTGTCTGAATAAGTTAGTAGAGTACAATGAAAACTGCATCCTTCTTCCCAGAAAGTCAGTGCTGCTGTGTTCTTTTCCCAGGAAAGAGGAGCTGAGTTTGATCATCCATAAGGACAGATATTTCAGTGGACATATCGGGTTTCATTTGCTTGATTTCTTCTGCTCAATTCACTGTTTCAGGGTAGCTGTGTGTAGTTGGTTTTCCTAACAAACTGTGTCTAAAGTGATCACATCCTCTATCCATCCATCTTTTCCTTGTGTGAACTTGCTGCCTATTTTCAACCAATTGCAACTCAAGGTTGCAAGATCCTAAAGACATTAAATCTATATATTTTTCCTAAAGACAGATGATCAAATAGAGGAAAGATGGATTGCTAGCTCTCCAGCTTGCGGAAGTAAGCGCAGTCCTTATTTGGTCCTGGAGAATTTCCCCACATTTCCAGCCAGGGTGCTTGCACCTGTCAGAAGCTGAGAGAGAACTGCACTGTCCTGATAGTTTCAGTACTAACCAGAAATATGAAGGTCATTTGAACAGGACTCCTTTTTGTACATGAGAGTGGATATTTTTAATTTTTTCTCCCCTGTTGCACGCAAAAAGTGTGACCTAAACCTTAACTTTTAAGTGGAAGTCATCTCTTTTGGATTTGAGGTGTGTATCTGCCAGCAGTCATCTGTCTACTCTAGAATCAACTTTCCTTCATTTAAGGCAACATGAACTTTGAACAATTGGACTGGCAAATAATTAGATCTAAAGTGCACGTTCTTATGTGGTTATACCATCCCCTGTGCTGCACTAGATGGATTTAGCTTATTGTCAAGATGAATGAGAATCAGACTTCTAATACATGTTTGCCCTGCCTTTTGTAATGATGTCGCTTCTCCCTCCATTTCTTTATTGATGTATGATACAGTAAATTATTAGTACTAAATTATTTTGACATATTAACAGGGCACTAAGGTCTATTAGACTGAGTTAACCTCTTTGCCCATCAACGCCAGCAAGTGGAAAAAGGTGGTCCTTCAGTCTAAATTACCTGCAGTACTCTTTACTTGAAGACACAAAAGTTATTTCCTTTACTGTTTTTTCTCAGGAAAGTAGAATTCATCTCTCTCCCTCTGACCTTAGTAGGATCTTTCCTCCTAGGAAGAGAGGAAAAGCAGAAACTATCACCTCACAATTGGTTTTCTCCTCTCTTTTTCTGTCCTCTTTGTGGCTGATGCAGTAATGTACTGACCCCATATTATATCCAATGTCAACTCCCAGTCAAGTAGAATTAATTCTTTTTTTCAAGATCAACTCACAAATCACAAGTTAAACTATCATGCAGTTTCACATCCCTGGAAGCACTAGGCATAGCATACTTTTTGTTTAATGTGCTAAGCGTCTTTATGTTGTACTTGATTTTTTAAAGAAATTAGAAGCTCCCCTGGAATAGTTGTCGCTTTGATGCTCTAATGATCATTAATATTGGAGAAATAAGCTCTGTCATGTCATTTTGTTAAAATGTATTTTACCTCTGATAATATTAATTAGTACTTTCTAGTAGCTGTGAGTTAGCTCCATAGTGAAATTTTGTGTAAATGAAAATGCACCATACTGAATTAGGTACTCGGCATTATTATTAAGCTGTGAGTCAGCTTGTCACATCTGAGAGGGGATCTTTTCTCAGCTGGTTTTCTATCGCACCAATCACCTGCAATTTTGAGGAAGCCTTATTAAATGATCTGTTGGCCAGGTAAGGCACTTGTACTGCTTTCCAGCGGTTCAAGGCAATGAGTGCCTTTCTGATTCAGTCAGCCATAGGACACATGCTCACTAAAATTTACCGCTTTCTGTGTAGTCACAGAGAAGCTGGTTTTACCCAGCCATCTGTTTGCACTGCCCCTGAATACACAGAAACACATTCTTTAAAATTCTATTTGTCTTCATACAGTTGCTGCATGCTCTGTTTAAATCCTTTTATTTTTACTTGGCTCCATATGATCAAATATATACAGGATGTGGCCTTCATACACCACAAGATAAAGGATTCATCAGAGCATGAAGAAAGGTCCTAGCTACATCTTGTTAAAGAAGTGCGCTTGCGTGCGCACGCGTTGGTTATGTAACTGTCCTCGATGTGCAGCATCGCTGTGTGCTGCTGGCCTGCCAGGCACTGCTTAGGGAAGCATGTACACATATTTACAGTCTCACTTGGAGTACAGTATTACATCGATTAGAGGAACAAATTCGATAGACAAAAATCAGTGATGTAACTGAAACGAAGGTGCTTACGAGGCTTTCAGAGTTTACTGATAATGTTCAGAAATAAATAGCATTGGCACCTTCTTGCTTTTGAATTAGACCTACAGATGTAATGGTTTTATTTATTTTCCATGGCTCCTGTAAGGCAAATGAAGTTGTGAAGTATGAATCCTTATCATTACATGCTCAGAAACAACCATAGCTGAGTTAAATTGCTAGAATTTAGTCAGTAAAATTGCATAAATTTAACTCTTACACTAAAGCTGAGAACTGAGGCACAGTTATGTCTTATAACTCCAACCACAACTTGATTATTTGTCTTCATAATATATGTGTTGAAGTATCAGTCCAGTGATTCACATGTGTGGATAAACACATCTTCCCTTTGCTTTCATGCTCCCAGGGAAACAAAACGGTGTTACGCTTTAGCAAATTTGGCATAATACACTCTGTGAGCAAACTGATCATGGAATTCATGAAAGATATATATGGATATTTACTTTCATGTTTTTTTCTTCCACAGAATGATATCACACCATTACATGTTGCATCAAAGAGGGGAAATGCAAATATGGTCAAACTCCTACTTGATCGAGGAGCTAAAATTGATGCCAAAACAAGGGTAAGCTTAAGTGTAAATGCTGTGAGTGACTGTAGAATTCTTGCCTCTGACCTGTTAGTTGCTGTACAGCTTAAATCATTCATCTTCCTGGCAGGCTACCAAAGCTGCACTGCATTTCTTTTTTATAAAATAGTTGCAGTAGGATGCTAACAATTTACATCTCTTAAAGCAGAGTGTGAAACACCACGTATGGCAAAGCTCAAAACCAACAATTTTCTGTGTTCTCTGTAGAGCATGTAATTAGGAGCTGCTTCCAGCTCCTTGGGGCTAGAGGCGAACATACAGGAAAATGCTAAAAGACAAGAATTCAATTCAGATATTTCAGAATTTGAATGCTAAAAGAGTGACTTTGAACTGCAATGTATGTTTGCCTTTCATTATCCGCAGGGCACTGTCACAGAGCACGATGTTGCTGATGAGTCTCACACGGCTCAGCCTCTGTCTGACTGGGTGCTTACCTGCTGGCTTGGATTTGTCAGCAAATGGGCCAGGTGTAGTGACAGTTTCCATCAGGTTGACACTTAACTCTATCCATTGAGTGACTTAGAAGCTCAATGCATATGGTTGTATCTAATTGCTGTAGTTAAAACCCATTCAAACCAGTTTAGGGATATTTTATTTACTTACACAGTGGTTAAAAAGAGAAGGAAAAAGTTCAAATGTTTGGAAGTAAAACTAGATCTAGTGGTGCTATGGGCTGTCATGGCAGTCTTTGCAACACACTCCTGCATGTGTGAGGTAACCTTCAGGAGCTGTAACTTTTTTGACAAATGAAATTTTCTGGAAATATTAGCTTATCACCTATAAATCTTCTATTTTTAATTATTCTGTATAATTTCCATCTGAATCATTCTAAACAAAATAAAGGTATAACCTAAGAATATATTTTTGTACAGTTATTACTGTATCCACAGGTTTTCCAGTGTTTCAGCAGTCTCTTTGAGATTTCCTGCAGTGCTTGTTGAGGCACATCCGTATTTTTTATTTCTGTGGCAAATTCAGAAACTGGATCAATTTATTTCATCATCTTCTCGCTCTCTCCACGTGTTTTTCTTTGCTTCTTCTTCTGTTTTACCTTTAGAAGTCACTCATGATTTCTTTGTAAAATGTTTCTGTTTTTTCTAATTGGGGAATATGGAAGAGACGACTTTTCATTGATAACATGAACAGTGGGTATCATTTCTGGAGTAAAATACCAGCCTTCTACATGCTACATGGGGGCTGCCGTGTGGTGGGGAGGGCCACGTTTTGGTGGCGTGATGGACGTGGATTTGATCAGAGCAGGGAGAAAGGGATGTGGCAACTGACTATTTGCTTCCGTTCTGCAAGCATTTATATGACCCACTGCAGGCAAAACGTTGGGGACCATTGCTTTAAATAGCTGGAGTCCAGCTCGTTCATTTCTCTTAGTTATGAAAATTCATGATCTGCTTCATTTTCTGTATCACAGGCTCCAGGTCAGACACTAGGATAATTTATGTAACTAAAAATACAGGCTGGGACAGAAACAGGATCCAGGAAGAGGGCAGAAGCATTAACAGCTCCTGAGTCTGGCCGAGCTTCCCAGTGAGGCCAAAGGCAATGGATGAATGTGTTTCACGAAGTGGTGGTTTGCTTTTTCTGGCTTCCCCCAGAGACCACCTGTTTCCCCAAACACCCATCCTCTCTATAAATCAGAAGGGATTTGCATAACTTCTCTTGCTTGTGCTGTACATTTGTCACTCATTGTTGCACTTCTCTGGCATTACCAGAGGCATCATTTTCTGGCAGTTAGTGACTAAGTGGAAGTTTTGCTCCCAGCGGCACTGACTCATCCTGGCAAGGGTTTGCCAGCCTGTGGTCTAGGCAGCATATGCCTCTGCCGGGGAGACTCGCTGAACCGAACAGACAGCTGCATGATTGAGAAAAGGGAAGAGCATTGCTGGAGTAGGTCAGGAAGGATTTACAAATCAATAGAAGAAGCAATAGAAGGATGAAAGTAATGTGGTGCTAGATGAAAAAAAGGCATCGTTTCAGGAGTGTCTGCCTAGTTCTCATATTTAATAGAAAAGATTGATTGCTGTGAGCTGCTAAATCTCTCTTGTTATTCCTACCTGACCCAATGTTGTTTTCCAAGGCAGAACAACTGACATATGTCAGCTTTGCAGTCACTTAATTTTTTTTAAGGACTGTCCTTTTTTTAATATCTCAGACATAGAATGGCCTTATGAAAATACAGAGTGACAAAAGCTTCCATCATATCCTTTTGTAACAGCATAACCACTACTGAATGTATTGAAAGGCAAAGAGCAGCCAAGGCTGTCTTTCGTGATCCGTATATCAAGTCATGCCTATCAGCTGGATGCCCAGTCAGAGCCCAGCCTTGTGGTATTCTGTGAGGGGCAGGTGTGGGTGCTGAATGCACAAACAACTTGATAAACAGATGGGATTTGCATGTGAAAATAAGTGAGGCTTCTGTTACCAGATTTATAAATGAGACACCTCTTTTCTTTTCTTTTCTTTTTTTTCTTTGGTAAGAGGTTTTAAAGAAACGAGCAGAATTTTTGCGAATAAAATGATAAGCAGAATATTCTTGTTTGGTTAAAATAGCTTGTCTTGGACACCATGATATTGTTTAATGCAAATGTTGGTTATGGAACACAAAATACCTGCTTAAATGTGAATAGCAAAGGTTCTGTACCCACATGAAAGAACAAAAAATCGTGAAAATTGCTTGTTTCTTTTGCTCAGAGGCAGAAATTCCTAGGCCTTTGTTTCTCCTATGTCAGGTCTGTAATTCATCTTTAAATGAGTATGCAGAAGATATTGGTTCGTGTTGTTGACCATATACTACCAGAGCCAGGATTTGCTACTCTGACTCTTAGATGGGACAGATTTAGCTATTGAAATGTTGGTTTTGTGATCTGTTCCTGCAATCCATTCTGTGTGTGGGGTACTAGAAATAAGTTCCACGTAATGTCTGTTTTTATTTTTCACGAACATATGCATTTTATAGACAAATACACATAAAGCCTTTCCTGAGTATTAAATAAGTTGGGGTAATGATTTCTTTTCCTTAGTCATTTCCGTGAACATTTGCATTTGCTGCTGGCAGATGGTCCTGGAAACTGCAGTGCTGAACTACTGCACAAAAGGTTAATGTGAAGGGCTAAATCCTTATCCCGTTTAAATTGTTGTAAAACTTGTCCATGGGCTCCCAATTTTTCTATATTGGTTAGGGCTAGGATTGGATGAGCACCATAAATACTGTTGCACACCTGCAAACTGTAGTTAGGAGTTCAGAGAATGTGTGAGCATATGAGATTATTTCCAAAAATGATTTTACAACTATTTTGAGTCTCAGCCAACTTTTTTTTTTTTTTTAGTTCCTGCTTATGTTGCATTGTTTATTTTAACCAGCTGTTTATCTTCTCTCTGTCCTTTTTTTGTGAGAGATGTCTAGCAGCTGGTACTTGGGGCTTTGTACTGGATTGTTAAGTGTACTCCTCAAGAGCTATGTGCTGCTTTTGTCTGTCAAGGGCAGCTTTTGCTGTTTGGGTTTTTAACTACCATTCTAAGCAAAGACCTATTAATGCCTCATGTAACATGTTTACTGAATGTTGCCCTAATTATTTTTTCCGTCTTCCAGAAAAGACTTTAAAAACTAAGGTTTAATTAGAAGTTGATTAAATTAGCTTGATTTGCTTTGGCTGTCTAATACTGAATATGCCACAGTGAATTTGTTTCTGAAGCAGGCAGCAAGCAAGTTTTAGCCTGGATTAACAATAATTGTTTATAATCTTCATTCTACAGATTTTGCAGCTGAATAACAGGCCAGCACTCATATCTGCATGAAAACATGTGGGTTGTGCTCTTTTAAGATGCATCAGATCATACATAAGCTGCGCCAGAAAAGCCACATGTATTACGATATAAAATGACTACAAGAATAACACTGACTTGGCACTCTTAAGTGCATTTTGCACATGTAGGAAGAGCAAGCCTTATTTGTTACCCTATTGTACAGAAGGAGCAGTTTGTAATAGTGCCAATGAAGTGAAGAATTCAGGAGACAGAGCATGGAGGGACCATGAGATACAGAGCCCTGCTAGGCTGAAACACTCACTGAGCAGTGATGGGGATGATAAACCCTGGAGGCAGCAGTAATTGCTCCCCTGGGGAAGCACGCCTTCTACCTCTCAGGGGAGTGGAATGCCTGTCCCACTCCTGCCAAGGCCATGGGCAGGCTCTGGGATTTGGCTCAAAGTCTGACAAGCTTTTGCTGAGTATTTGTGTCACAGTAAAGTTTTTACTGAGTGTCGTGCTTTAATTCATCACTCATACACTGGGTTAGAAGCTGATGCTCTGAAGTGACAGTTGTGGTACTGAGGCAGCCATGGCTTTGGGGTACAGCCCAAAGGATCACATTATGCAAGGGAAATCAGCTACACAGGTATCCGAGTCCGAACAGGGACCAGAAACAATGCTCAGATCTCATTTATTGTGGGGTAGGGGTGGGGGGTGTTTGAAATAGAAGCTAAAGAAAGAGCAGCAGCCCCAGAGATGGGTGTGCAATGCTTATTGGAAGTTGTGCCTAAGCAGAACTCCTCCTATTGTCCTCCTGGCTTTGCTGGAGCTGCTCTCAGCCTCTCTGGAGGGATGGATAATACAGATGATATGATTTATCATGTCAGCGCTTACTTAGAGAGTCCTTAATCTGCAGATTATTGTCATAATCGTTTGTAATGGTTTCTCTGAGCCATTGCAGACTATCACATTAAGGCAGGTTTGCTTCCTAGTACATGCAATGTATTTTACGCTTCACATAGTATAGTCTGTATGAACAATAAATAAGCAACTAGAAAATCTCCTGACAAAATCAGTGAAGTCTTGCTGAGTTCAGAGCAGTCTCTTTTCATCTCAGATTCTCTTTTTTTTAAACAAAACCTTTCTGTGATCTGTGTTTTAGATTGCCTCTGTGCATTTCTTTACATGCTTTTAGTGCTATATAGCAATTAACCAAGCCAGGTGAATAGATGGTGTCTTTTCAGAACACACACAAAAAAATCTCTGCAGCTAAATGAGCTGTCTTCAAGTGTGTTTGCTTTTTACAGTGGGAGACCTGACATCATCTTGACAATAGCAATAGATCAGCTGTGCCAAGCACCTACATTGCATTGTAATATCATGTCATGCCATGTGATGCACCTAGTTGTAGTGACTGCTGTGTAGACTAGAACGAG